TGTTCTTCAGGAGCATATCTCTTTCCCTGAGAGGAACCCTTTCAAAAGTACTCCCAAAACAACAGGCACAGTATGACCTGGAGTTGTGATGAGATGCGTGGAACGCAGCAAGCACCTGCCTGATTTTCAGCTCTGTGCAAGGAAGAAGGACCAGTTACTCGAGATGACGTCAGACTCCACCGAGGATGCGTTACAGCCTCAGACACCTGACTGAATTCTGGCTGTGTGTGGAGAGGGAGCATCCAACTCATTGGACAGAGGTGCCTGGTGGGAATTCTGCTTCCTTCCTTTCGGCCACAATCTTGATCTCTGTGAGATAGGCTTTTTCAGCTGTGTGGGGCCACACTGAAAACAAAGTACAGAGGGCTAAGGCTCCACATTGTGACGCCTGACTGCGAGTGGCCGTATCAAGCCTGCAACCCCGTTTTGTGAATAGAATGTGCAGTGAAAAACAGGCTCATTGCAGCCACTAGATACAACTCAACTCTCACAAACTGCCTCACAACACTTGTCCAAATATCTGGCATTGTTCTCTTTTTTGCCTACACACATTTTAACTCAATTGTTTTTGTTCTTGCAAAGTAACACGAATCATATCATGCTTGATGTCACAAAAGTGATTTGCTAAATACGTTACTTTGGCACAACAGAAAAGGGAAAGGAATGTTCATCGTTGTTAAAAAGTAATGTTTTATGATTTTTGATATCAAAGTGGTCTTGGTAAAGATAGTTATTTGACACAAACGAGTACATAGTGAAATGGAATGTTCTCATGTTAAAAAGTAATGGTTCATGATTTTGATATCAAAGTGGTTTGCTAAAAGTTAGTTATTTGCACAACATACATGAACTAGAGAAGTGAGAGGAATGTTCATGTTAAGAAAAGAAATAAGAAAGGAATGTTGATGATTTAAACAAAACTAATGTTAATTTTGATGTTACAAAAGGTGGTGTGTAGTGCAGTGTTAAATATTATTTGCACAACAGTTGTTATTTGCACAACCGAAATGACTAAAACACGTGAGACGAATGTTCTTTTTTTGATGCTGTATCAATAAAGTTAAAAACAGCCTATTTTGTCACCAGTTTGTCGGGGTGGGGGGGCCTGAAAAATGTTCTTCCTCAAAAGGGGGGCCTGACAGAAAAAGTTTGAGAACCACTGGTCTATATGTTTGATGTGTTAAACCGGCGTAGTCTGGTTTAATAAAGTATATTGTGTGGAGTTTTTAAGCCGAAAAGTATATTTTTGTTCGATGTTCTAAGCCGAAACGTTTGTGTACAAGTTTGGTATGAGATCAGCTTTTAAGGTCAGCATCTATAGAATTTAGAGCTAAGATAAATGAAGATTGTGTTGTTTTGTATTGTCAAGCAGTGTGGTTTTAATCTGCACATGTTGAGTGTTCCCCTTCCCCCAGTCACATGAGGTTTATGCTATACTGCTAAGCTAGTTAGCTAGCCAGTTGGCATTACTAGATGGTGAAGTAGTTTGAGTGAAGATACAACTGGTAATTACTGATTAAATACACAGGGATAAGGTAGATGAACGTTGAGAGTAGATTGAGTTGTTTTGTTTTTCATGCTTTTCAAAGAAAGTCATTTGAACTTTATTATTTTGGGGAAATAAACAGGAAGTAGGTTTATGAACCGGAAGTACTAGTTGATACATTTGAGAGGAGTTAAAAAATAAAACAGCTCCCCTAGCGGACATAATAAGTATTATAGTTAATACATTCTTCACCACACAGATAAAGATTACAGGTGGTTTCTTTGAATTGAAGTATTGTAGTTGACTCATTTTATGACATTTGCATAATTTCATAAACTTGAGTATACTGTACACGGTTTATTTGGATTTGCACCATATTCCTATTTTCATATTACTAAGTCAACTCCTGTTCATTTTTATTTCTTTATTCAGATTTTAACATTTGCATAATTTCAATTTGTCTAATTTTGATTTTGATTTCCAATTTCAGTTTTACAACATTTTAATTTATTTAAAAAAAAAAAAAAACAACCAGATTTTAAAGTTAAGTTCAGGTGACATAGGATATCTTTATAAAGAATACAAAGGTACTATTCAGAGGATTAGTTTTTCATCTTTGATAACTTAATAATATTATCCAAGTACTTAAACATGTCGCCAAAAGACACCAAATTGAGACCAGTCGCAGAGCCAGGCTCAACTGCAGATATCAAGGAAAGGGTAAAAATCAGATCAGATTTAACAGTTCCAAGTAAAAGACAGAAGACATGGAACCAAATGGAGAAACTGTTAGAACAGTGGCAAACGAGAGGATTGATTCCAGCAGATGATCAACCTGGACCAACGGAAGCCCATAGAAAAGCTGTAGTTGAACATGAGAATGCTGAATACCTACAACAGGAAAAAGCTTGGATCAAAGCCGGACAACCCTCTTGGTATGGACCTGAAAACATTGCTATGAACAGAGCTGAAAAAAGAAAAGCTATGGTTGCAAGTCTGGTATTCCATCTGGAAGATGCCAGCCAAGGATTGACAAACAGCTTACATGTGGTAGAACTCAGCAGAAGAATGGAAGAGAAAACCAATAGAAGAATGGAAGAACTTGGGAGAAGAATGGAAGAGGAGACCAAAGGAAGAATGGAAGAACTCGGCAGAATAATGGAAAAGGAACTTGGGAGAAGAATGGAAGAGCAGCTCAACAGAAGAATGGAAGCAGAACTCATCAGAGGAATGGAAGAGAGACGAAAAGCAGATGAAGCACATAATGACATTATTGAAGAGAGACAAAGGGAGGAAGATAAATACCAACAACTTCTGGCGGAAAGACGACAAGAAGATGTAAGATTTCAGGACATGAAGGCAGATAGACAACGGAGAGAAAGGAGAGAACAAGAAGAACGAAGAACTCAAAGAAAATGCAGAACAAACTACTCTCCTGACTATTCCGAAGGACAGGGAGATGAAGATGACGACGGCGGTACACAGTCTGAAACCAGTAGACACTCCCCATACCATGAACAGTCACAGCAACAACGCGGTTTTGCATCTCCTCCTGAGAATAATAGTATGGACGAAAATGAGCAACATTACCCTGGGACATGCCCCAAAACGAGAAGAACCAAGACCGGTGCACATACCTCCATGCCATTGATAGCGGCTGGAAGAGGAGGATTTCAATACCAATCATGGATTCACAGGGACATGGAAGCATTAGTGGCAAAACTACCTCCACTCACGAAAGGAGGTCAGAAGTGGGTGACTGATCTGGAGAGATACACAGCCCAAGACCACCTGTGCTTGGGAGATATGAGGGCCCTGCTCGGACGGATTGAAGGACTATTGGAAGCAAGAGCAGTAGATTCCGAGGCCAATTGCACGCACGACCCAGATGACACTTCATTCAACTACATCAGGTCGAATTATTGGGCTGCTATTCGTCACATCTACCCGACAACACGCAGTTTACATGCCCTCACCGGCCTGAGGAAAGGCACGGAGGAAAACATGCATGCCTTCCTGAAGAGATGCGAAGGAGTGTGGGAGGACTGTACTGGAGAACGACATGACGTTTCGCCGGCTGTCACAATGCTGTGGAAGGACGCTAAGGATAAAATAAATGTTTCAGTTTTTGGTATGTGACTAAGTAAAATAACTAAATAAGTCTAAAATTTTAAACGTATGCTCTTACATTAAACAGACTAAAACTAAAGGTTAAAGTCAAATCGTTGTAAATTAAATAAAAAGATAAATTTTAAATGGTCTAAAATTTCAATTCAAGTCTTACTGGGTATCTTAGAAACATTCTTATGTTTCCATGATAAGGGGGGGGGGACTCTTAATCATGTAAGTAGAAACTATATGAATTATTATAATAAGGTTCTGAATTTGTACAGCGTTTTCTGTGGTTCAACTCTGGTCAATCGTCCCGGTCCGAGTTGACGTCTATAGTTCCTTTCCCACTTTTTAGTCTAGTCTAAATGTGTCAAGGTTCATTTTCTGTCTTCTGGTACCTTGGTTTACCATCTTTACTATCTTGTCACCGTTTGCTTTCCTAACCTAAGGTCGTCTACTAGTGGACCTGGTGCCTTCGGTATCTTTTCGACATCAACTTGGTACTCTTACGACTTATGGATGTTGTCCTTTTTTCGTACCTAGTTTAAGGCCTGGTTTGGAGAACCATACCTGGACTTTTGTAACGATCTTGTCTCGACTTTTTTCTTTTCGTATACTCACGTTCAGACCATAAGGTAGACCTTCTAGGTCGGTTCCTAACTGTTTTGTCGAATGTACACCCATTTAGTCGTCTTTCTTACTCTTGCTCTTTTGGTTGCCTTCCTTACCTTCTTGAGCCGTCGTTATTACCTTTCCTTGAACCCTTCTTTTACCTTCTCCTCTAGGTTGTCTTCTTACCTTCTTGAGCCGTCCTTATTACCTTTTCACTTGAGTTGTACTTCCTTACCTTCTCGTCGAGTTGTCTTCTTACCTTCGTCTTGAGTAGTCTCCTTACCTTCTCTCTGCTTTTCGTCTACTTCTGTATTACCCTGTAATACCTTCTCTCTGCCTTTCCGTCAACTTCGAGTATTACTGTAATAACGCTTTCTGTTGCCTCTTCTATTTATGGTTCGTTGAAGACCGCCTTTCTCGCTGTTCTTCTACATTCTAAATCCTGTACTTCGTCTACTGTTGCCTCTCTTTCTGATCTTGTTCTTCTTGCTTCTGAGTTTCTTTTGCGTCTTGTTTGATGAAGAGGACGATAAGACTTCCTGTCCCTCTACTTCTACTGCCTGCCGCCAATGTGTCAACTTTGGTCATCTGTGAGGGTATGGTACTTGTCGGTGTCGTTGTTGCGCCAAGACGTAGAGGGAGGATTTTATGTATCATACCTACTTTTTACTCGTGTAATGGGACCTGTACGGGGTTTTGCTCTTCTTTGGTTCTTATTTCTTGGTTCTGGCCACCAGTGTATGGAGGTACGGTAACTATCCTCCGACCTTCTCCTCCTAAAGTTAGATGGTTGTTGTACCCTAAGTGTCTGTACCTTCCGTAATCACCGTTTTTGATGGAGGGTGGTGCTTTCCTCCTGTTTCACCCACTAACTAGACCTCTCCTATGTGTCGGGTCTGGTGGACACGAAACCTCGTACTCCCCGGGACGAGCCTGCCTACTTCCGTGCCTGACCTTCGTTCTCGCTCATCTAAGGCTCCGGTTTAACGTGCGTGCTCTAGGTCTACTGTAAGTAGGTTGATGTAGTCCAGCTTAATAACCCCGACATAGCAGTGTAGAGGGCTGTTGCGCGTCAAAGTGTACGGGAGTGGCCGGACTCCTTTCGTGCCTCCTTTTGTACTACGCGAAGGACTTCTTACGCTTCCTCACACCCTCCTGACAATGACGTCTCTTGCTGTACTGCAAAGCGGCCGACAGTGTTACGACGAGACCTTCTTGGCCATAATTTACGGGAAGGGGTTTAGTCAGTCCGTTGCGGATCTCTACACCACCCCAATCTTCGATTTTAGGGTGCTTCTTACCTCTGATGTAGAGTAGGTGCGTACTGTTAGTTTATGGGTCCTTTCATTGTTTCCTTCTACTACTTCTTTGTTTCTTTGACCCTTTTTATGAAACTTCTACGTCCACGACTCCTTTCTATGACTTACGATTAGTCTACCGGTATGATCGGTCTCCTTCCGGTCCCACCTATGGAGGTTGTCAAGTTTGAGTCCTTCTTGGTCTCTAGGTTTAACGTCATTGGTCTTCGCCTCCTCCTTCACATAAGGTGTTTGTTCAAGTCGGTCTTATGGACGACATAAAGGATGCGTTCATGTCGGTGTTCGGTGGTGTCATAGAGAGTTGTCGTCTGGTGGACACATAGGAAGGATCGTTCATGTCGGTGTTCGCTGTCGTCCATAGGAAGGGTGTGTTAAGGTCGTTCTCGTTTATGGACAACATAGAGGATGGGTACTATGTCAGCGTTCGTGTCAATATGTGAGGGTATGTCGTGAGTTGTTTTCCCTTTTACCTCAACTTTCGTTGCGTAGTTTCTCCTTCTTCTCTATCGCCGACGAGTAGTACACCACTAACACTTTATAAGCAGTACCGGTCGTACTACAGGGCGTGAGTGTAATAAGAAGTAGAGTGTTGACCAAGTGGAGTCATAACTCTCCACTATGGAACACCACTCTATACGACTTTCAACTCCGCCTTAGTATAGTCCCGGTTTACTGAATGTTAGGTGGTGTAAACTTCGTCAGCGGCGTAGAGAAGAAGGAGAAACTCGCAACGAAAGCGAGAGGTAACAGGAAAAAGACAACTACGACATACCCTCACCACACTATTTGACACGAACGCTGACATGAGACCCATCCTTTCTATGTGTCCATAAACGACAACGGCCCTTAACACACCCTTTCTATGACGACACGAACACCTGACATAGAACGAAATCCTTCTATGTTGGGTACACAGCAACGACACAACTCTATGACAACCACGAACACCGACATGAACGCAATCCTTTTATGGTGCCATAGACGACTTGAACCAAAACACCGTGTATGTGAAAGAGGAGGCGAAACAACCAAGACGTAAACCTAAGAGACCAAGAAGGACTCAAACTTGACAACCTCCACAGGTGGGACGGAAGAGACGATCATACCGGTAGGACTAATCGAAGTCATAGAAAGAGTCGGTGGACGTAGAAGTTTTCAAAAAAAGGGTCAAAGAGAAACAAAGAAGTAGTAGAAGGAAACAATAAAGGACCGTAAACTACAGTACCACTTACTCTACATCAGAGGTAAGAAGACCCTAAAATCGAAGATTGGGGTGGTGTAGAGATTCCGCACGGACGTGACTAACCCCTTCCCGAA